TTCCTTGTTCTTTGGCCGCTATGTGCCTGGGATGGAGGGAGAGAAAGATACCACAAAAACTGGAGGAGATTCCCAAAGTAGTCTGCCCTAGATAGTTCTTCCCCAATTATGTGAGTGACTGGTAGACAGAGAAAACAAATTCATAATAAAGCATTTTGGAGAAGACTGTGTCTTGTATGTTCTACCTTCCTTCCCCTTGGTGATTCAAAAAGAACTTTAGCATAAAAAGTGTTTCCAGAACTACAGCATTAAATAAACCTGTTTAAATGGATGGAGTCAGTGTTATTTGACAATGGAACCCTTTGTCTGAGTTATAGGCAGAAGTTCTGTCCCAGGATAACAATGTCATTTAGGGAAAAAAAGGACATGATAGGAATATGAATCTTTCTTGTCACTTGAAGTAAAATAAATTGAGCTTTGAGAAGTGATAGAGAGAAGTTTTGCCACTTAAAAAATGTGAACTGGCAACCAACAGAATGGGAAAAAAATTTTGCAATCTACCCATCTGACAAAGGGCTAATATCCAGAATTTATGAAGAACTAAAGCAGATTTATAAGAAAAAGACAAACAAACTCATTCAAAAGTGGGTGAAGGATATGAACAGATACTTTTCAAAAGAAAATATATATGAGGCCGACAAGTATATGAAAAAATACTCATCATTACATTACATACACATGTATGTTAATAGCAGCACTGTTTAAAATAGCAAAGACCTGGAACCAACCCAAATGCCCATCGATAATAGACTGGACAGGAAAAATGTGGCACATATACACCATGGAATACTATGCAGCCATAAAAAATGATGAGTTTCTGTCCTTTGTAGAGACATGGATGAACCTGGAAACCATCATTCTCAGCAAACTGACACAAGAGCAGAAAATCAAATACCGTGTGTTCTCACTCATAGGCGGGTGTTGAACAATGAGAACACATGGACACAGGAAGGGGAGCATCACACACTGGGGTCTGTCGGGGGGAAATAGGGGAGGAACAGCAGGGATAGGGGATGGGGAGTTGGGAAGAGATTGCATGGGGAGAAATGCCAGATATAGGTGATGGGGAGGAAGGCAGCAAATCACACTGCCACGTGTGTACCTATGCCACAATCTTGCCTGTTCTTCACATGTACCCCCAAACCTAAAATGCAATAAAAAAATGAAAAAAAAATTCAAATCACATATGTTTTACTTTATGCAAACTTGTATTCTTAGTTTTGTGAACAAAAATTTGAATGAAATACAATTTTTTAAAAATTCAAATCACATATGTTCTACTTCATGCAAACTTGAATTCTTAGTTTTGAGAACAAACATTTGAATGAAAAACAAAAATTTGAATGAAATGCAGTATAATGTACTTCCAGTGATATTATAAAATGTGGTTAGAATAATAGATTATTTTTTTCCATGAAAATCTCTGAGAAAGGACAAAATAAACACCTGAAAATATGTCAGAACATTCTTTTAAACTCCCCCACCAAGAAGAGAAGATACACAATTCACCTTCCTCCAAAGAGGAGGAAAAATTAGATGTAAAACAGGTGATGTGCAGTATGTTCTGTGCCTAATAGCTAATCTCTCATGGCAGCTTAGAACTGATTTCACAGCCATCTAAAAGGAATGATACCAACTTGAGCACAAACATTTCTCACAATAACTGACATGAATTAATGCCAATTTCAGCATAAACACATCTCACAATGAACCGACATGGACTGACACCAACTTCAGCATAAACATGTCTCACAATGAACTGATATCAACCACTTGAAGTTTTCAGTTTTCCAGAAAGGAAATGATGGGGGAATCATACAGTGAGTGCTATCTTAAGTCATGGCATCTGTATTAATATTTTCACAGAAGGGAATCACAGAAACCCAAAATCAATGGATGAGAGATATTTCACCAAAGTAAAGGTGTTTATCCTTTTAAAGTTCACAGCAGATTTGGGGTTACACCAAGTGCACTTTTTCATGTTTCTCACCATTTATGTCATAAAACTCTCAGACAACATCATTCTTATTTCTCTCATCTGTGCTGATTCTTGGCTCCACACACCCATGTATTTCTTCACTGGAAACCTATTGCTTCAGAATCTCTGCTATTTTTCTATGTCCCCCAATCCTGATGACCTGCATCTCTGATGACAAAATCATCTCCTTTGCTGGCTGCCTGGCTCAGTTCTTCTTTGCTGAGCTGGCCTATAGTGAGTGCTACCTGCTGGCTGCCACGGCTTATGACTACTGTGTGATAATCTCCAAGCCTCTGCATTATTCTCAGGCCATGTCCCAAACGTTATGTGCCAGTCTTGTCTTTTCATACCTTGGTAGCTTTGTAAACTCAACCGTCATCACCAGTGAGATATTCCTGAGCTTCTGTGGCAACAATATCATGTGATCTGCCCCTGCTTGTATAGTTGAAGTGTGATGTGAAGGAGAGATATCAGGCTTTGCTGCATTTTATACTTGCTTTTAATGTAATAACTTCTACTGTGCTTATTCTTGCATCCATCACTTCATCATTGCAGCCATCTCGAAGATTCCTTCCACTGAGGGCCGCCTCCAGGCCTTCTCCACTTGTGGGTCTCACCTCCCAGTTGTCACCTTGTATTATGGTACAATCTTCTTCATTTACTTCCGACCAAGCACTAGTTTTGACCTAGAAAGGGATAAAGTGGGATCAGTGTTCTATACTCTGGTGATTCCAATGCTAAACCCCTTGATCTATAACTTAAGAAATAAGGATGTCAAAGATGCCTCGAAGAAAATGTCAGTTAGTCTTAAGTTTCTTAAATAAAAATAGTTGGTAAATGATTTTTTAACGGAATATCTCCATGTCATTGTTTCTGGTTTATATTCTCAGAAATAAATGAAAGATAAAATCATTTTATAACTTGGAAACAGAAGTCTGCATTTGTGTTTTTAAGTTGGAACTAAGATATTTGAATGTATTTTTTAAATAAATGAGGCTGGGGCATTTGCAAAACCTACTATGCATGGTAGCGTGGAATGGACTCTATAAAATTGTTAGGAGTCTTAGAAGATTAAAAGAAAGGAGATTAAATATGTTTTTTAAAAAATTGACATTTCGTAAGTTGCCTATATCTATAGTATTTTAAACAATAAATGAGAATAATGTAGCTTGTTACATAATCATTATCAGGATTAAATAGATTAAATGATTTACCTGAAATCATAAAGTTCATTGGTGAGAAAACAGGATGTAAACTCAGAACTTAGAAAAAATAACAAGAAAAATAAAAAACAAAGGTATTTATCTCACTGTTAGATGAGAGAGTGAGTTAGGAAGTCACACACAAAAAGTATACGTTGTATGCCTTAGCTATTTTTCCTGATGTGCTCCCCTCTTGCCCTCACCCTACATGCCCCAGTGTGTTTTCTTCCTCTCCCTATGTCCATGTGTTTTCATTGTTCAGCCCCTACTTATAAGTGAGAACATGTGCTGTTTGGTTTTTTATTCCTGCATTAGTTTTCTGAGGATAATGACTTCCTGTTTCATCCATGTCCCTGCAAAGAATATGATCTTGTTCCTTTTCATGGCTGCATAGTATTCCATGATGTATTTGTATACCTAGGTGATGGGTTGATAGGTGCAGCAAACCATCATGGTACACATTTACCTATGTGACAAACCTGCAGTTCCTGCACATGTAGCCCGAACTTAAAATAAAATAAAATAAAATAAAAAGAGTACTGTAAAATTCCTCTAGAAACAAGTTTTTTTTTTTCTTTCTGGTTTCCATTTTTTAGCTTGCCATTATAGAAGGATGACAGATTTCCTTAGCAATAAACAAAATAGACAACCAATATCAATACTTAGAATCACTGTGTACTTTCAATAAAAGAGTATTTTCCTCAACAGTGAAAGAATTAAGGGCAGAAGTGGAGCAGTCATATGAGATAGACAGAAAGGAAGATGTAGGTAGGGCACAGAAACAGATCGAGAAGTAGGGCCAGAGGGAGATTTCAGAAAACTTTACATGAAAGGGAAGATTTAGAGTGAAAATCTTTACCAGGAAAACTGACTGATAGCAGTCAAGGATATATTAATTTTTGTATGTTGTTTTTTAGTGTTATGTTATAAATTAATTAAAAATCAGAGATTAGATTTCCTAGTTTTAGTAGTCTTTTTACAAATAAAACATGAGGTTGTTCCAACATAAAAAGGCCCTCATTCTGAAAATTCAGTGCATTAGTTTGCAAGTGTTGCTATAACAAAATAGTGTAGCCTGGGTGGCTTACAAAACAGAAATTTATTCTCCCATAGTTCTGAGAGCTAAAAGTCCAAGTTGAAGGTGCTGGCAGGATTCTGAGATCTCTCTCCTTGGCTCTCAGGTGACACTCTTGCTGTGTTCACACGTGGTTTTCTTTCTGTGCACTTAAATCCCTGGTCTCTGTCTATGCTCAACTTTCCTTTTTTATAAAGACACCAGTTAGATTAGATTGAGCCTACTCTAACTTATTTTAACTCATTTTAACTTAATCACCTCTTTAAAGGGTCCATCTTCAAATACAGTCAGATTCTAAGGTACTGTAAGTTAGGGCTTCAACATATGAGTTTCCAGAAGACACAATTCAGACCATACCCCAGGGATAGGTAGTAGATTTGCAGTGGAGGAGATGAGGGTGGGTAGACTGGACAGAGAAAAGAGCATATGGCATGGAAAAAAATATAAGACCACATGATACTTTTTAGTACAATTTAGAAATTCAATTATAAGACACACTCAATATGACAGAATTATATTATGACTTAGATCCATTAAGAGAGTCAACTTTTAATGAAATATTTACTCATTTCATCATATCCTAATTTATTTAACATCCTTAAACTCCCAATGAACTCTAATTGAGTCTTTGGAGACAGAGGCACCTATTTCTGTGCTCCTGTGAGGGAGATGTCTCAAAGGTCTGTTGAGGAAATACATATATTGAGTGCAACAAAGGCACATCAAACACCACAGGAGAGGGAAAAGTGTCACTTCCAAGAGCTGGCCTTCCAAACCAACGGTAGGTACCTGGGATCAGGGGCAGCTAGGTAGTCTGGCCTCTCTGTGACCTCAGCTGCAAATCAGAAGGGGGATACAGAATCTGGCATGGCTCTCAAAGGATTACTGCTGTGCCACACATGCACACAGGTGTACAAACACGCAATGCAGACTCCCTAGTAAATCAAATTCCATTTAATGATACATCCTGCTCTCCCTTAGAATTTGAAACACAGTCTTGTATCTATGTTGAACCATTATATATTCACTTACAGAGTGAACAAATCAAGAGGATGAAAGAATGTGACTTGCTTTGTGACTCCAGTGACTGTACCACTCTAAACTGCTAATGTATGGCATTTTCACTTCTTGGTACTAATTTTCAGGTGCCAGAGGGGCACATTCCTTCCAAAGAATTTTTCTTGCCCCAGTGAAGGGAACGGAGACCTGGGCTGCAGCAGGGGAAGATGCGTCTTGATAAGCCACCCCACAGGAGATTCTTTAGCATGATCGACTTGGGCATTTTCTGTGCCTTTTCTTTTACATTCAGAGATATTTGGTAATTTGTTTCAAATTCAAGATGGACTTGAGGTCTTGGAAGTGAGTCTTCTCTTTTATTTACTCTTTCTTTTTATTATGATACAGCACACTGTGCTGGAAAAGTTTACTTGAGGATAAATCTTGATCTGAATATTTTGAAGCAGCTTAGAAATAGGCAGTACTTTGTTAAACTAGCTTCAAGCTATGAAGGCAATTAACCAATTATTCATTCTAGAAATATTTACTGAGTGCCCGTTTGTTACTAGGAACTGTTCTTTGTGCTGGGATACAGCAATGAACAGGACAGATAAATATTTTGCCCTGTTTTGGTGGGGAGAACCAGGCAGTCGATGCAGGCAATCGATTTAATAAGCAGGAGTTAGAGGATGACAATAGATGTGGGGATAACACAGCAGCATCGGAGTAGAGTAATAAGGATGACGATTGTTGGAGGGAAAGGGACATGGAATTTAAAAGATGTGGTTAGTCTGGACCTTTGTCAGAAAGTGACACTTGAAAGGAACTTAAAGAAGATGGATGGGTGAGCCAGGCAAACATCTGGAGAACAGTGTTTCAGGCAGAGGGAACAGATAGTCAGAAATCTTTGATGCTGGGACAGAGATGACACATTTGAGAAAAAGTAAGAAGGCCATCAAGGCAGAAGGAAGGAGGTGGTGAGTGTTGGGAGGTAAGGTTCTTTAGGCAAGAGAGGTACAGAAAATGGGTTTTAACTTTGAATAAACGGGGAGCCTTTACAGGGTTTTAAATACAGAAGCAATTCATTTATTTATTTATTTAACGGCCCATGATGGCTGTTGTACTGAAAATATACCATAGGGAACAAGGGTGTAGGTGAGTTAGAAGGCAATGGCAATATTCTTGGCAATAGATCGTGGAGGTTTGAACAAGGGTGGAAGCAGTGGAGGTGGGGAGAAGTGGTCAGGTTTGGGATACATTTTGAAGGTAGGAAAATCAAAATTTTCTGAAAGATTGAAAAGTAGATAGGAAAGAAAGAGAGTATTAATTCCAAATTTTTGACTTCAGACACCGAAAGAGTAGAATTTTATTAATTAATAATGAAAAATCAATTTTTGGAACTTAACATTTGGGGTTCAACTTTAAACATGGTTATTTTTAAATACCTATTACTTTTCTCTTATTACAGAATATTAGCACAGGATAGAAACTTAGTCATCTTCCAGTGGTAGAATTTTTTTTTTTTTTTTTGAGACGGAGTTTCACTCTTGTTACCCAGGCTGGAGTGCAATGGCGCGATCTCGGCTCACCGCAACCTCCACCTCCTGGGTTCAGGCAATTCTCCTGCCTCAGCCTCCTGAGTAGCTGGGATTACAGGCACGCGCCACCATGCCCAGCTAATTTTTTGTATTTTTAGTAGAGACGGGGTTTCAGCATGTTGACCAGGATGGTCTCGATCTCTCGACCTTGTGATCCACCCGCCTCGGCCTCCCAAAGTGCTGGGATTACAGGCTTGAGCCACCGCACCCGGCCAGAATTTTTAAATATGAAATCATAACTTGCAAATTAATAGATTTTTGGGAGTTTGTGAACTCATTGAAATTTTGGTGTTTTTACATATGTACATATAAATATTTGAGAATTATCATTGCTAATTTTATCAAGTTCTCAAAGATTTTCATGAGTTCAGAAATGTAAGAGCCATTACTTATTTGCAGATAAAGAAATTAAGAAATGCAATGGTTAGAAAATGTGCAAATCATAGAATTAAATTTTAAGGAAACAAGAATGTGTATCCAAATCATGAGATGAAAAGAATGATGCAATTGTTTGCAGCAAATTTCATTTCTCACTCCAACCAAGACAGTGGTAAAGTCCTGTGTATCCAAAGATATACATGTGTATAATGACTGTGAATCTGCTCTGCTACATTGTATTGCAACAAGTGACACTATGTACTGTTTCATGAAAGTTTTCCTTTTTCTTTCTTTCTTTCTTTTTTTTTTTTTTGAGACAGAGCATCTCTCTGTCACGCATGCTAGAGTGCAATGGTGTGATCTCAGCTCGCTGTAACCTCTGCCTCCTGGGTTCAAGCAATTCTTGTGCCTCAGTCTTCTGAGCAGCTGGGATTACAGGCATGTGCTACCCCGCCTGGCTAACTTTTAGTAGAGACAGGATTTTGCTATGCTGGCCAGGCTGGTCCTGAACTCCTGGCTTCAAGTGATCCACCTGCCTCAGCCTCCCAAAGTGCTGGGATTACAGGCATGGAGAATGCCTGGCCCATGACAATTTCTACGAGATATTTTAACAAATTGGAATCATAGAAATTTGGTGCTTGGAATAGTAGCAACCAAAATTGTGTTCCTGAGATGAGAAATTACTTTCCTAAGTCAGACAGGTGATTAGTGTCATGGATATGTACCAACTATTGGACCCCACGATCCTAAACCCTATAACGCCTTTGTGAAATTACACGGGAGTAGTTTACAAAAACATTAAATTCTAGGATCTTAGCAAGATACGGAATGATACCACCATTCTGGCTTAAATTGCTTATTTATAGAAACTCAGCCTTATTTATTTATTTATGTTTTACGAGCTCTGACTTTATAAATAAGTCACATAATTATCCTCTCAGAATAATGATAGTTACAACTGTATACATTGATTTTCTATCAAGAAAATGGGCTTTTTTCTTAACATGGATATTCTCTTACTGTTTTGGAGGTAAATACACGTATGTTGGGGATTGTTAAGATACTTTCCCAAGATTACAGAACTAAAAAGTGAGATCTGGTTTTAAACTCAGATTTCATATCACTTGGGAAATACTGCCTATGCCAAGCCTGTCTTTTCTCAGCTGGGCTTGCTCATACGTCTGTGGGTAACTCTTAGCTCCACTGTAGGCTGAATCATATAGAAGGGCCCCACCCACATGTTTGTGGGACTGCTTGCAGTCAGCTAGGGTGACAAAGAGAGCACAGCCAGATGTCTCATCCAGCAAACTAACCCAGGCTTTTTTACATGGTGATTATAGAATTCTAAAAGTGAGAAGAGAAGCATAAAAAGCCTCTTGAAATCCAGGCTTTGAATCCACATGGAGCTGCCTATCTGTCAGTCTATTGGCCAAAGCAAATCACCAAGCCATCCAAGTCTCAAGGGGTTAAGTATAAGAGTTAGAATAGTATCTGGTACATTGTTAGTAATGTATTTATATTTGTACTAATAGCAGCAGAGATAGTTCAGTATGCTGGCATTTGTATACCTACCACCAAAATACTTGACACATAAGAAGTTTTCAATAACTTATGGAAACACAGTGAAATTTTTTGAGTGCCCACTAATGCACCCAGTATTGGGTTTGGCTATTTTTAGGTATGTTTTCTTTATTCAACCAGACAGTCTGTCAAGAGGTTATTAGTTGCTGGGCACGGTGGCTCACCCCTGTAATCCCAGCACTTTGGGAGGCTGAGGCGGGTGGATCACCTGAGGTCAGGAGTTTGAAACTAGCCTGGCCAAGATGGTGAAACCCTGTCTCTATTAAAAATACAAAAATAAGCCAGGTGTGGTGGTGGGCAACTGTAATCCCCACTACTCAGGAGGCTGAGGCAGGAGAATTGCTTGAACCCAGGAGGCAGGTTGCAGTGAGTGGAGATCACACCATTGCACTCCAGCCTAGGTGGCAGAGCAAGGCTCCATCTAAAAAAAAAAAAAAAAAAAAAAAAGGAAGAAGTTATTAGTTATTAGTCGTCATTTTGAGCTTCATTTTTCTCAAGATTTGTGAGAATATGGGACTTGCCCTGTAATAAATAGTTAATATGTAACATTCCTAATTTTCAAATTATTTCTGACTTCAATTCCAGTAATTTTTCCAAGTCATGGACTGAAGTCCTATAATTCTAGATAGTAAGGAAGAAAAATCCACAAGCTTCTCAGTAATTGTTGATTTAATTGATACCCTTGTTAACTTATGCCAATAGAAAAATCACTAAATGATACTTCTCCCTTCTCATGAAAGTCAGGCTTTCACCTCTGTGGACATGGAAGTAGGAAATCGCACCGTCCTGACCGAATTCATCTTGATGGGTTTCTCAGCAGACCCCCAGCGGCAGCTGATTCTGTTTGGAGTGTTTCTGATGCTCTATTTGGTAACCTTGTCAGGAAACATGACCTTGGTTATCTTAATCCAAATCGATCCCCGTTTGCATACGCCTATGTACTTTTTCATTGGCAACCTGTCTTTTTTGGATTTCTGGTATACGTCTGTGTATATTCCCAAAATCCTGGCTAGTTGTGTCTCAAAAGATAAGCGCATTTCCTTGGCTGGATGTGGGGCTCAGCTGTTTTTTTCCTGCGTTGTAGCCTACACTGAATGCTATCTCCTGGCAGCCATGGCTTACGACCGCCATGCAGCAATTTGTAACCCATTGCTTTATTCAGGTACCATGTCCACTGCCCTCCGTACTGGGCTTGTTGCTGGCTCCTATGTAGGAGGATTTTTGAATGCCATAGCCCATACTGCCAATACCTTTCACCTGCATTTTTGTGGTAAAAATATCATTGACCACTTTTTCTGTGATGTAACACCATTGGTAAAAATGTCCTGTACAGACACGAGGACATATGAGAAAGTCCTCCTTGGTGTGGTGGGCTTCACAGTCCTCTCCAGCATTCTTGCTATCCTGATTTCCTATGTCAACATCCTCCTGGCTATCCTGAGAATCCACTCAGCTTCAGGAAGACGCAAGGCGTTCTCCACCTGTGCTTCCCACCTCATCTCTGTAACTCTCTTCTATGGATCTCTGTTGTTTATGTATTCAAGGCCTAGTTCCACCTACTCCCTAGAGAGGGACAAAGTTGCTGCCCTGTTCTACACTGTAATCAACCCACTGCTTAACCCACTCGTCTATAGCCTGAGAAACAAAGATGTCAAAGAGGCCTTCAGGAAAGCAATACAGACTACACGACCACAAACATGAAGGTTGTTCTTTTTGCAAATGCTGTTATTGAATTTTTCAGATTATTGGTTTATAAATGTGTTCATATGCATTTCTATAGTTCAATCAAATCCAATAAGTCACATTTAAAACATTAAAAAGATTGAGCAAATGACTCTTTAATTGTTATTAGTTTGTTGTGATGTAAACAAAACAAACTAATCTTTAAAACTTATAGTATTGGGTTGTTTGACATTCTGCAATATGGTATTTTGTCTCAGCAGTATTAGAGTTTTCATAGATTTCATTGTGTTTGCTATCTTTGGGAGATCTTGGGAACAAAACAAATTTTGTGGTTTAATGAATATATTTTGACTTTGAAGCTCAGTAAGCAATCTTTACTAGGTGAGAAGAATATCTGAAATGGTGACACTTCTCGAAATATGCTCAAGATTTTACAAATATTTAAAAAATAATTTCCTCAAAATTTTTTCAGAAAGCTCTAATTGAAAATATAGGACATATCTTTGTAAAAACCTCATGCTTTATATATAAAGAAAATATTAGGAAAATGTTTAAGAGTTGTTTAGATTACAAACAACAATGACAATAAAACTATTTCTAGATTTATGAATAAATATGTGTCTTTAGAATTGCATGCCATCTTAAAAGAGTGTTCTCTTACATGGAGTAAGTACTCCGCAGTACTCTCTCAGACCACACAGCGATGTAACAACACCAAAATGAAACATATGAACAACAACAGTTACCACTGTTCCCTAGTTCGCTTTCTTTTTCCTTTGTCTTGACCAATAAACATAAGTTGGATGTTTTTCCCTGCCCTCGACAAAGCCTGGGCCTTGAACATTCCTAAGAACTGATAAACTTGTTTAGGTTAATGTCTGAAACTCTGAAAATCAAACATGTTGCTAACCACATGGAAACTAGCTCTGGCTGTGAGCCCAATTCCTTAAACCCTTATGCAAACTCCATAACTGAACCCCCTCGTGATGGCAGGTTGGGTTGATGTTTCATTTAGTAGCCTTTAAAAGACTGCAAGTTAAGGACTATTGGTATCATTTTTCAAATCAGAAGCTTGCAGCTCAGAGGTTAGCACTTGCTTAATGAAAGGTTATAACGTTTGCTTTAATGAGCATATTTACAAAATTAATTAAAATTTAAAAATTTATGACAAATCGTTGTAGCTATTTCATCTGTCTTTGCTTTGACATTTCTCATCTTTCCGTTCAGCTGCATTTATTTTCTAACACGTCCTACCTCTTTGCATCAAAATAATCTTAACATTCCTTATGCCTCTATCACAAAGGAAGCTTTTTGAGTACTTGACTAGAAGGATTTGGGGTGTATTCCCCAAATATCAATGATCCATATTATGTTTTCTTTTAATCTCCATAAGACTCACTATGTAGGAAAAACATTAGGGGAAAAAACAAAGTAAAATATAATTTTACTTTAGGATGCCGGAAGTATTACTCTTTCATTTTGCATTAATCAAAGATACTGATTTTTAAAAACTGTATCAATATTGAATGGAATCTAAAATTCTGTAGTATATATTATAGTCTAATCTCAAAATCACAAAAGCAAAAAATGCAAAGAAAGAAAATTTTTCCTGTTGAATTTTGTTCAATGGTAAAAAAGATACAAAAATCCAGTTCTGCAACCTCTCTGAGTGGTTTGTCATCATCCAGCACTGATTTGAGAACTTTATGTCAATTCAGACTTTGGATTATGCTGACTTGTAGAATTTTTTCAGAGCTTCTTTCACATCTTTATTTCTCAGACTGTAGATCAAGGGGTTCAACATGGGGAACAGCACAGTATAAAAGGTAGAAACTATTTTGTCCCTCTCGAGGGAGTAGCTGGAACTTGGCCTAGAGTAGATGTAAAGAATGGAGCCATAGTATAAAGTAACAGAGATCAGGTGGGAGGAGCATGTGGAGAAGGCTTTGAGGCGGCCCTGGGTGGAGCGTATCCTCAGGATGGTGGCGATGATGGAGAGGTAAGAGGTCAGGATGAACCCTGTAGGGGAGATGACATTGGAGGCCAGCAGGAAGCACAGCACAGCCTGGTAGCTCTCTCCCACATTGCATGCCAGCTTCACCAGGGGTGGGACATCACAGAAAAAGTCATCAATAACATTGTCACCACAAAAATCCAATGTGAATGTATTGCTGGTTAATAGTATTGCATTGACAAAACCACCAGCATAGGAATATAAAACCAAACAGATGCACAATCTACTTGGCATGGCCTGAGCATAAAGCAGGGGCTTGGAGATGGCCACGTAGCGGTCATAAGCCATGGCGGCCAGCAGGTAGCACTCACTATAGGCAAACCCAGCAGAGAAGAAAAACTGACACAGGCAGCCAGCAAAGGAGATGCTTTTGTCTTCAGAGATGCAGGTCACTAGGATCTTTGGGGTGTAGACAGAGGAGTACCAGAGATCCAGAAACGACAGATTGCCAATGAAAAAATACATGGGTGTGTGGAGGCGGGAGTCATTACAGATCAACACCATGAGGGTGATATTTCCTACCACAGTCAGAGAGTACACGCCCAGGAACACCACAAACAGTCCCAGCTGCATCCCTGTGTCTGTGGTGAAGCCCAGCAGGATGAACTCAGTCACTGTGTGATTGCTCCTCTCCATGGCTTATGGATACTGCACCTACAAATAGAGTAGAAAAGAGTTTAATTGCCTCAACCAATACCAAATGACGGCATTTCCTATGCTAAGCACCTGACATGTAATCAACACTAAGGAAGAATTTTGGCTGCTTTGGGCAGGTGGTGGGAGTTTTCTGAGCTTCACTATATTTCTTGTGATAAAATGCATTTAATAACAGGAAAGCCTTAATGCTATTAATATGGTCATTAATTTTACTTGAAAAACAAAATTTTTATTGAGTCCCATGTGCTGTTCCAGACAGTGGGATATAGCAGTGAAGATGACAGGGCTGACTCCTATGCTACTGAGCTTTTATTCTAGAAGAGATAGATATGTAAAAACCAAATAAGTACAATGTCAATTAATGTTCAATGCTAGTAAGAAAATAAAACTAGATGATGGGATAAAAACAAACTAGGAAGAGTTCATCAAATTTAGACCTTGGGAGAAAAAAAAATCGTTTTCTTATTCCCAGCTGTGGATGGACAAATTGTTCAGTGCCTATGAGATCTGGGAAGGTCCCTGTTGTTTAGAAGATGGTAACAATGTATTTTTCCACAATCACAGAAAAAATTACCCTCTCAGTTACTCTGCAGGAGTCTTTGGAACATTTATCTTAAATCTCAGGGAAGGAATCAGATTGAGAATCAAGGTGAAGCTTGGGTAAAGATCAATGAATTTATTTGTTTCTGCCAAGTAAAAAATGTGTGATGTCTCTATGGTCTTTGGGGTACAAAATGCTGAGACTCAGCATATTTCTCGGTCTCTATAAGTAGTCATGACATAAAATGTGGCACATATACACCATGGAATACTATACAGCCATAAAAAATGATGAGTTTTTGTACTTTGTAGGGACATGGATGAACTTGGAAACCATAATTCTCAGCAAGCTGACACAAGAATAGAAAATCAAACACCGCATGTTCTCACTCATAAGTGGGTGTTGAACAATGAGAACACATAGACACAGGGAGGGGAGCATCACATGCTGAGGTCTGTGAGGGGCAACTAGGGGAGGGACAGTGGGGGCTGGGGAGTTGGGGAGGGATAACATGGGGAGAAATGCCAGATATAGGTGATGGGGAGGAAGGCAGTAAACCACATTGCCATGTATGTACCTATGCAGCAATCCTGCATGTTCTTCACATGTACCCCCAAACCTAAAATGCAATAAAAAAAGTTATTCCAAGTTGATATTATCTATAGAAATAGTTCTGAATGTTATTAAATTGGAAAAATCTTCTTGTAAGACAAATATTTAGAAATGCTTCCTTTAGAATCTTGAAATAATATGTATAGTTAATATAACCTAAGTATAAACATATGTATGTATGTATATGTAAACTATCCTAAGTCTAATGTAAAAGAGATATAAAAGAAAAATAATTCATAATACAATTATTACATGTAATAATTATAATATAGGATTCATTATAAAATAATTTGAATTTCCATATATAAATGCTGGATCACTTGGTGAGATACAGAGAGTAAAATCAACACATATAGAATCATCACAAATGTGTTGTTGACTCAAATATCAGGAGTCACATTTACATTGATGATATTTTTCTGACAAGTTGATCAAGTCTTGACAAAGTTCCAAACAAAATATATGACAATCTTTCTTTGGTTTTATTAAATTATTGTATAGAAGAACCTTGCAAAATATAAGTTTTCTTTATAGAGTGGATTTCAAACTCATGTGATTATAACAATCTTTCTAATGTACAAATATGAATTGGGAGTCTGGATGTAAGAAATGGAACATTTTTATAAAGGCAGGATGCATTCATACTTGTCTACTACATATCAAATATCCAGCAGTCCTCTGATCTTTGTGATCATAAAACATGCAACCACATACTTAAATGCCCATCAATGATAGACTGGATAAATAAAATGTGCCACATATGCACCATGGAATACTACACAGCCATAAAAAAGAATGAGTTCATGTCCTTTTCAGGGACATTGATGAAACTGGAAGCCATCATTCTCAGCAAACTAACACATGAACAGAAAACCAAACACCGCATGTTCTCACTCATAAGTGCAAGTTGAATAATGAGAACACATGGACACAGCGAGGGGAACATCACACACTGGGGCCTGTTGGGAGGTGGGGGGCCAAGAGGAAGGAGATCATTAGGACAAATGCATGTGGGTTTTAAACCTAGATGACGAGTTGATAAATGCAGCAAACCACCATGGCACATGTATACCTATAGACAAACCTGCACCTTCTGCACATGTATCCCAGAACTCAAACTAAAAGAACAATAAAAATAAAGAAAAGTAAAAAACCAGCAGCCATGAGCACACAAGATGCACAAGTTTTGGTAACTAAATACCATTTTTCCACTAAAAGGACCAAAAACTCCTTGAAGAAATGGCTAACCCAGGTTTGGATTAAGGAATGGAGAAGATGAGTCTGGGACATCTCGTGGCAGAAACTAATATTCAAAAATTATAGGGACATATTGAAAAGACCCTGAAGCTAGGTTGAAGAACCTTCCATTAGATGCATTTTAGACAATTTTATATCAAAAAGTATAATGACAATAATTGAATAAAACATTGAATACAAAATAAAAAAGAACACTCTTTAAAGGATATTATCATCTATGGAGACTCCATTCCAAAACTTTGCATTTTACTTTGTGAATCTTTATAGATTTTTCTAGGAATTATGTAAAGAAATACAAAATAACAAAAACATTCCAAAGTGGTCAAATTACCTGGGGCAACACAGCTGTCAACTTGCTTTTTTTCACTGGGTTACTGTGGTGAAGTAGAGATAGAAGCCCGCAGGATAAACTCTGTGAGAGCACAGATTTTTGTTTCCTTTGCATGTTACATATCATACCCCTACTGCCTAGAATAGTACCTGGCATATAATAGACATACAATAAATATTTATGAAATAAACAAATGGGTAACCCTGACTCAGAAGAGAAACAAGTCAAGAGAATTGATTTTCTGGTTGTCCTCTAATGATGTCATTACACCCTAAAACCATTAAATAATTGCTTGATATTCCACATGCATTTTGTGGCACAAGCAATCTCAGGTCATCTGTGTTTTTTGAAGACAGGTGCAGGGACAAAGAAATCAGTCCACAATATAGTCAGCCTAACCAAATATTTGCTTTCCCAAATGGTGTGTCTGTGAAGAAAGTGTTTTTCATCTGAGCAACAGATTGCATGTCATATGTCATGATGTTTAGGAAGCATGTCTAAGACATCAGAGCTAACTGCTCACACTAGAGACAGATGGGATATCCTAGAAAAAGCATTTGTCTTTCAATGATTGAGAAGAATTCAAGTTCTCCATCACTAGTCAACAATGTAAATTTCTTCACTTATAAGATAAGGATAATTTATCTCTTCTTAGGGTTGTTATAAAGGAGTTTACTCAAGTAAGGACTATGTACGATACCTAGCATGTGATAAACACTAAAGTAACAAGTGGTTCTCAAATTTTTTGCACCTCAGAATGCCCCAGTGTTTTTAACTCAGCAGGCTGCAGGTGAGCCCCGAGGAATCTGCTTTCATTAAAGCAATCCAAGTGCTTGTAATGATTGCCTGTAGATTATGTTGAGAAATGCTAAAATGAATATCAGTTGTATTTATAAAAGTTGTCAGAATCAAAATGAAGTCACTCATGTTGAAAAAAAAAGTGACAAATATGGCTGGGCATGGTGGCTCATTCCTTTAATCCCAGCACTTTGGGAGGCTGAGGTGGGAGGGTCTCTTGAGCCCAGGCGTTCATAAACAGTGTGGGCAACACAGTGTGACTATGTCTCTATAATACATACATACACAAAACATAATTTAAAAAGTGACAAAAAGAGCCAGAGAAGGAAATTAAGAAGGTTTCTCATGCTTGTATGTCTGATAAAACTATCATGAAAGACTGCAAAAA